AGGACCCCGTTGGAACCAAACGGATTTAAGTGCAGCATGCCTCGGAGCTTGGTAATCATGTCACGCCTGTTCCTGTTTTTCATAAATGATCTTGCAAACGTGCTGTCTTCAAACTGTCTGTTATCCGCAGATGATCTAATAATATGGTGTGCTGTCGCTTCAGTGGCGAAGTTCACGGCCCTACAGGATGACCTGGACAAAGTGCACACATGGTCCACCCGGAACATGCTACATTTCAACACCATGGAGTACAAAATTATGAGCATACTTCTTTAGAGTACTCACAACGATCAACTAGGCTCAAAAATCCTAAAGCGGGCTTCCATTAATGCGATCTTTGCTAGCTTTCGCACGGCGACCTTGGGATTTTAAGGCAGACTCTAAGGGTCTCACAGAAAGTAAACAAAAACTTCGGCCTTCTTCGTAGAACTTTCGGGAGGTTTGAGGCCTCAATCTTTCTGAAAATGATTGACACATAGGTTAGGCAGTACGCGGAATACACCATCCAGGCGTGGGAACCATAGCAGATGTACCACTTCAGCGCACCTGTTACCGCACAACGCAGGGCGACAAAGCACGTCAGATGTTTGTTCCGCCTTCCTTACCCACTCAAACTGAAAACTCTCGAAATATACAGCGAACGTTACCTCCATTTAAGAGGCAATCTCATAATGGTGTATACAGAGAAACTCCAACCACACATTGCATCATCATTGAAACGCAGTCAAGTCACATATCTGGAGGGTTATCAGTATAAGCTGGTAACATAATACAGCAGACAGGAATGTCGACGGAACTTCTTCTCCCTCCGAGTGTCACAGCCATGGAACGTCCTCCCGGCAAACATAATTAATACTCCTACTTTATCGCTGTTCCAAAACGCCTTGACGATACTCGGACACGTTTACACTACGTGACATAGCCCGTGACAATCAGATGATGGCATTAATGCGCAACAAACAGTGGACGGGATTATAACCCCCTTGTAATCCAGGCAGGAGTACTCGCTTATGTGCCAATCCAAAGCCCTCGGTGAGTCATGTATTTCACGTCCTCTTACTGACACGACGTTTTATTTTGCGACTTTTACTCTCACCATCCAATGAGACATATCAAACGTTCGCTTTTAGACCCGTAATAAACCATTGCTCCTTTGCACAAGAAGTATGTTGTAGATCATCAGTTTGATCTGGAAGACATCAATATCCTTGAAATAGTAAGGAAAGACAGAACGCGTGAGTTCAGTGACGCCTGTCATTTGGGCTAAAACCAAAGCAAAAGGCAACTGAAGCCACAGCGTGTCAACAGTACTCTGCAAGTCAAGTTAGTAGTAGGTATCGACGGGGGGAAGACGTAGTCAGTTGGCCGACCCACGTGAGCCAATCAAAGGGTGCTATTTATTGCAGGAAACAGCAAATAGTCACTTGGATCTGGTAGTGGCTTACAATACTCCGCGAATCCGTCCTTGCTGGCCGTACTGAGGATTTTGCCAGCTTCGCAGGGAAACAGATATTTATCTTCTTCACAGACTACAGCTCTTTTCAGATACAACACAGACATAGTTAATGAATGAAACATTCACATTAGCGCCTCGGTCGCCAATGCTAGCACAACAGCCGAGTTTGTTGAATACATCGACCATTTCCAATTACTGTCGGGTTACTGCAACAATCGTTGACTTATAGGCCTGGTAGATCAACAGTGGTTGCACCTTGAACATGGTAAGCACCGCATCACGTGTAATCGCTTTGCGTATTCGTTTACGTAGCGTCCAATTCCGATACAGAAACAGCTAAATGGATCACATTCTTTAGGTTGGTCACCTAATGAACTGACAGGATATCGACCCCACAGAACATTAAGAGAATATAGTCATTTGTAATAAGTTAGGTTGCAAGGCCAACATAAAGGAAGATATAGAACGGATATGTGGAAGTTAACTTGTGACATGGAACTCAAGCGACATTTTTCCGTAGGCTCCTACCCTATATCAGAAGTCGTGGAACAAATACCCCACGGTGAAAACGGGGTTCACTAGTACTTTTTTCATAGATATGTATAATATAAGATATGTTAGAGGAAAACCAAGATAGCAAGCTGTTCGTAAGTGTGCTCCGGCTCCAGTACTAGACTTAAATATGCAGTGAAGGCAACAGCAAAAGTTGCGGGAGTCAGCCTGATCCGGCTCCCACTGAGACCATTAAATCTTCGCAAATTATACCCGTCAAAAGCGTAACGATAATACAGATGATGCCGACACCAAAAACCGTTTAACTCAAGGTTCATTGAGTCCTTTTATATAAAGGGAAAGTGTTGACAGCCGCCAGCCTATTCACTGTCGCGGTAATGATGAATAAAACCGGTGGATCCGTTAAAACGATTCACCAATGGTCTAGTAGCATGTTTCGCTTCGACGCAACTAGCACTCGTCTAATCACTTCCTAACTAAATTGTTTGACATCAAATACTCAAGTTGACTCAAGTGAATCAACATGCGGCGGTTTCACAGCAGGTTTGCTGGAAGGATCCTTATAAGCCTCTGTCCGACGGAATTTTTATAGAGGCAGAGGAAGGATCAACTATTGTGATTTCTAAGCTATTATCTTACTAACTGAGTGCTTTCCTTGACACCTGTACTTGTTTTTCTGAACAGCACTCGGTTATTTCAATTTATATTGCCTTTTGTCCTTTCAGAGGTCTATGGCCTCCATTAGCGCTTCTGCACAGTTTGAAAGCAGTCAGCAGAAGTCGTTTCAAGCAATTTGGGACAAGCTATAACTGGATACCCAGTGAGACGTGTTTACATGCCTCGATTAATGTTCATGATGCCTCAGAGACATACTCCAAGTTCAGATGGCTCAAAATAAATATATTGCTTGCATCAACTATATTTCTCAGGGCATATTTGAGATGATTGGCCGGCGTTTTAGCACATTAGGTTGATTTGAAATTAGAAATGTTCGGCAATTTCGTCTGGACATCGCTGAGTTGTTTACTGTGACTTAACTTTCAAAGTATGAAGTTAAGCAATTGGACGTTTCGATGATACTGGAAGTGCAAACGCCATAAGTTCGTGATTTAGAGCATTGCCGGACCCAACAAAGCGTTCCAAGTTGACTGACAGCATTTAACTGCTGAGCGCTATCTGTAAATGATGAGCCCCTAGTCGTTTTGAGGCCATATCACACAGCAACTCGATGCGTGCCAGGTGACATGATGTGAAGGTTTAAGGTAGAAGCTACCAAAGTTAACAATATTGTCTTCGCATACATGCTGGCATCGATTTATAGCAGCTCTTCTGTAGCACCGATCCTTAAACGCCCTCTCAGGTGATGGTTAGAGTACGGTAGACGACCCATTTCAGTATGGATGTAGTCATTCCGACATCAGCTTTCCTCACCGTAGGAACGCGAGTTAGGAGTTGATGATAGCATTCGTCATTTATGCCCTAGGAGCAGCAGTAGACTGCTGCGTAAGACTAAACGACAACAGAGTACAATGTCTTCAGACGGTGCTTGGTAATTCCAGTGGTTACTCAACTTACAACCACTCCCATGAGGCCGTTCACTGGTACATACTAGATTAGCATGTCCAGTATATTTGATGAGGTCGATGCCAAAGATGTACAGATCGTAATCATTGTCGACCGAGTAAAAAATATAGACTTGACGTCATCTTTTAGAAAGCATTGCAGCCATAAATCACCAGAGTGAGTGAATAGTGAAGAATTGCGTTGATCTCTCTAACCCAGAGTGTAGATGTTGTAAGAATCAACTGCAATGCTAACATGGGTTTGGTGGATGCACTCTATGCATCTATGTCAACAGTGCAGTCAGTGCAAATCTGCTCAGAGCTTGGGGTAGAAGGTAGTTGCCAGGGCAGCTAAAGAAAATTCAAATAATTGAAGTTAGTGACGGAGTCTAGGGGGTAGATGCTGAACTCCGACTGTGTACTCCGACGCCAGTGTTCATTTGACGTAATCCACATCTAGTCTTTGAGACAGCAGGCCGACAAGCCCGTTAATGGGTAACTGGTGTTTTGCTCGGAAATATTGCTGACTTCTGACGTTACAGAAAAAGAAAAGTTGAAGGCTCGTGCATTTTAAATATTAATTAACTACGTTTCCTCCCTCAAAATTGCTGACGGAATTTGATGCGAAGCCCCTTAGGTCCCTAGTGTAGATTAGGAGCAGTTTGGCAGCAAAGAATTCGTTAGAAGGCGCAAATTGCCAGGTAGATTGTGGCAACACTACAGTTATGGTAGTAGAATATGGAGACTGCGAGTTGATTGCCCCACAATAACCTGTACTTATTACCATAGTATATGACTCATTCTGTTTTATGGGTTGCTACATATATTTCAATGAAGACACTGGTGATATTCTGTCCTGACCATGATATTTCCAGCGAGACAGGAAGGTGAGCCTGATTCACAAGCAATATTCTGGTCTGACGAAGCTCGGATAAGCTTGACGCTGGAAGAAGATTACGAGCCGCGGCAGATATTATCCGCAACGTATTTTTGGGAATGGACTGTCCACAAGCACTTAGCCTATGTCAATCAGTTCACAGGGGTTTCGAGGGAACACGCCAAAGTAAGCTGAAGGTCGTTATTATAAACAACAACGCATAAAACAGCGGGTGCTGTTTCGGTCTGAGCAAGCTTAGGTGATAATTTATTGTAGGTAAAATGTAATTACTCTACTAGTCTAGTAGGTAAAAATTACAAGCCATAATCTAGGTGTAACAAAAGCGGGGAACGGACATTCACATGTGTATACAGTTTTGTTACGTTTCAATGTGAACATTTGATAAGGAGTAAAAACTCCTGTGCATGTGGAGCAGTGCAGGCTCTAGTGAGAGTAGAGACAACAGAATAGTTTGGCTCAATTCCATCTCAGGACGTAACCAACGAAAAAGACCTGATCAAACTTCTAGTCATTTTAGTACTACGACACCAAGAACTTCACTGCAACCTACATTGCTAAAATGCATACTTACCTTCAATAATGTACGTTAGCGTCTCACTTCTCAAATCTTCTTGAATTTCAGCCTGTTTGTATTTATCCGGATTCTCGTTTGGCGCCCAGCGTAACTAAAAGAATTTCCAAAGCTCATTAGTAGGCTACAGAATCCTAGTATGCAGTTATGTCATAGTAATATTAATACGGTGTAAAAATCTCACTTTAAATGTGGGAAACTTAGTTGCAATAATTTTTTAATACAGCTAACTCATCATCGTCATTCCCAGTCAGCAGCCTTAGGCTAGTCTGGAAAAGCACCAGCCCCCGGCGTTTCGACCTTCCGGGTCTCCTCAGTGGTGTGTCTCTCAGCGGACCCCTGCTGGGTTCCGCCCCCACGACTTCAGGATGCCAGCAGCTAGTGATACTTCGCCACGCGTGACAGCCGTGGACCTGCGTGATTGACAGTTTGATTTTGAAATAGCCTGGCTCATCTACCACTGCCATGCCATTTACAAACTGTGCAGACAGAGAACAATGGATAGTCTCCTTAACATTTCGCTTAGGCGTTAATTTTTCGAATCAGTCTGGCTAAGATGAACTTTTAAGCTCGTGTGCTTTTTCCCCAATTTCACGCACAGCTAGCCTTGCTACTCATTGGGGTCATAGAAACGCAAACGCATGCATGCAACTATGACGAAACGTCGTGTCTCAAAAACTACATTTTTTCTTAGTGATTACTTGCTGCTGTGAATAGAAACTCACTGACCGGCTTATGCAACGTTTACTCAGATGTTCTAGTAGTTTAGTGTATTCGACCACTGTTTCGCTTTTTCTGTATGATGAATCAATATTTTCTGGGAATTATTATTAGCACATAATCCTTCGTTTAATGTATGCTGCAAAAGGAAAACCGTTGGTTGTTTATGAGGCTTATGATCAGTTACTAAACCGCTTCACTTTGTTAATCATCTTTACAATAAAATTCATCTGATACTGTTTTTAATAGTTTTACAGGCAAATTCAGTCTAATTGCATCGTGCGCGCCCGTGAACGTAACCGTGAGAAGGGCAACACATGGATTCATTTGAATAACCCAGTGAGTCACCCTAAAGTAAATTTTCGTTTTTCTGTCATTTTATAATCTGTATGATCCTCACCACGGTCATCCTCATTTTCGTTTCTTATAAATCATGTTTCATTCTAATTTAATAAAGCAGTGATTTTGTGCTTTCCATAAATCAATTTCATATTTAGGCTGGCTGCACTAGCATCGTCATATTAATGGAAATAGCAACGAAGTAGTTTTTGTTGGATTGGAAGGGGCTAGCTTAGCTTAACATCTATTCAGTTTATGCGAACAGTTTGGTGTCATTATTTTCTAGTTGCGCTTCCTGAAACACTCAGCGTAGAGCAAGGAATCAAACGTACCTTCCAGACTGATTTGATGTCACTGAGTTAAGTTGTCCTATGAAGCGTTCTGTCAATTTATTAGGGTAGAGCTTTTTCATTTACACTCATCCCAGTACCTTTAAACATCAAAACAGTTGCTAATAAGATTCGTTACATTAAGACTTGACAGCAACGGATACTCCGACGATGAAGTTGGAACAATGGTTTACTTTTTCCAACCAGTGATTAAGACCAATGAGCTACTTGGAATGGTTACATAATTAGTTGAATTGGCTATGGATAACTGAACTCTTCCTCTACCCTAATAAGTGTATACACCAGTAGTATGAATCACCATGAGGAAACATCAGTCCACTGAGTTACTGGACGGGTGGCGGCTGTGTGCTTGTGTCTTCCCGAAACTATAGTTTCTGTTATTATCTCGCAAGTTGGAAGGTAAGATTTTGTGCGGTTTCGATCGGCACAAACCATATTTCTCCACGATTTTACAACTGTAAAGAAAAAAGGCCGCCGGAAATGCTTACATCGTCAACTTGTATTGCGAACGGTCAAACGTTTCATCCCTGAACTTATACAAATCCATTTAACGTGTACCACAAGATGAATGGTGTCGTCAAACTATGTTTCAAAAGATGTTCCGATTAACTGACGGGTTAAGAAAACTTTTTTGTTAACTGACGTTTGAAAAATATTTTAACTTGGTTAATCAGCAATTCCGTTTCCAAATGATTCAACGTAATGCATGCCAACTTTCCGACCATTTTAATACGGCTGCACTAGACGTACCGTGACATTTTTTGTTTCCTGTAGGGAAATAAATCATACCACGCCACGCCGCTGTTTTTGTTTCAAATTCAACTGACTCTGAGAACGTTGTAACAAGTGGCCCGTAAAGGGAAGAAGATGATGAATTATCGGAAATATATGTTCGCTTATAAAGACTTTTAATGAGTAAGAGTTAGTTTGTTGACGAAGCATACTGTAACGTTTACTATTTAAAGGAAACTCCTACAGGTAGGTTTCGGATACAGTTAAAACGCGTGCTATAAACTACGCTTTTTCAATGACCACTAGTTCCCGAGGGACCATATTTTTCGTTATTATGCAACAATTGCGCTTATGATAATGCCACTTAGAAATAAACATAAACATCTGTGTTTCCGTCAAACTTTTATCGGCCGTTTGCTGAATGCTTGTACCAGAGGTAAGAATAAATATGCGTGTGCACTGGATAGCAACATTTCGTTTCAGTTCGGAAAGCTGTCTTCCGAATTTTATGGCAATATCACTTATGATTAGTAGGAATTTAGAATGTTATTTGTTAAATGTTCGGTCAGTGGACTTTTTGTTTTATTTCAGTCAAAGGCTATCAAATTGACACTCAGGGGAGTCTACGTGCAAAAATGTTGTAGCTTACCTTGGTGGATGCATGCTTAATCGCCTATTATGCCGTCCACTGAAACTGGAATTGTCGAGTTTGTTCGGTGATTGAAGATACTCATTTCTAATTGTCACTCAGTGTTTTCAGTGCGTAAATTTGTGCTGTGGCATAAATAGTCGTTGTTTGGAACTTTTTTAGACTATCCGTTTACCAGAATGCTAGTACAGTCACAATGATTGCGTGAGTTTTTGGTGGACAACGATAACGCTAAATATCTTGACGGTGGTGAATAGAGGTAGTAATTTACTCTCGAGCAGTGAAATGAAATGGAAGCGCATCCTAATTAAGAACTTCAATGTGAACAGATGTCGTTTAAATGGCATGTTTCTGCACCATTAAAGCACCCGAAATCTTTATCAGTGTTAAATTGCAAGCAGCATCATTGCCACACTTGATACCTAACAAAACTTCGAACCCTGACTATTGCTGTCTGCCAATTAACCTGCCTAAAGTTTTGAGTCAGAAATCAGGAAACACTTGTTTTACCATTTCCATGATTAATCATAAATGGGACCGCAGATAGCCCACATTACCATAGCTCACTGCCAGCGGAGCAAGCATGTTCATCAATCATGTATCGTACAATAAAGCGCTAGACCGTTAATGAACGACATTAAGCTGAAATCCGTTGGCTTTTATTATGTTCATTTATCGGTGGTGCAATAAAAGCGCTGCATTTAGACCGGAAGCGTCCACTTAGTTTGATAAACACAGTTTGGCCTCTTCGGGTTGCAAATCACCAGAGCCACTGCTTGGTTGGCCCTCCAATTTAGGGACAAATCAAGGAGTTATCATGATCGCAAAGGTTAGACTTAGATGAATGTTCATGGGGTGTGAAGGCGAAATGTGAAGGGATGTTGATTGCCACAAGACGCGCGTAAAAAACTAAGAGCGTATACTCTACCATCAATAAAATCGTTGGTGATTACTGTGCAGCGGAAAGCAACATCGACCGCAATTCTTCCGATCCTTAGTACAGCCTTGGCTCGAAACATGCTGAGTGAACCTACTAGTCGGAGACAAAACTGATGGCTCAAATATCTGTAGGCAACTGAACTCCAAGTTTACTGCACTGTCGTGTGACACAAGATGTGGCCTGAATTCCATTGTCTTCGTTTAGATAAATTTATTTTTAAACATCCCAGAACAACTAACTGCTGGTGGTAAGGTTTCAGCTTAGAGTTAATTACACAGGGTAAACATAGAAAACAGGCAATTTCGTTACAAAGAATCTGTGCATCCGATGTAAACATAACATGCGTTAAATGGGTAGGTCAAAATCCCTTAGTATTGCTTTGGGCTCAACTAAGATTAAGTAATCACTAATGGTCATAGTGAAGTCATGCAATGCGTCAAATAGTGTGACCAAATAATCATGGCTAGGAAACAAAGGCACTGGGATTGACTTAGAGAAACCAATTTAGAGAATCTAATTTGAATGAGACAGTGGAAAGTGTTTGATATCATTCATACGCTGGAGTTAACAACACATTGCACGAATAGGAATAAGAATGAATTCGACTCAATGACTGCAACATGTTAGATGTAATATCTACGCAACAGCATAGACAAATCACTTGTTCTTATCTATACATATGGGAGCTTCCTTGCCAGACAACTGGTATCTCACATGGTGAGTGGTTTTCTGTTAGTTATTTTGGAGTTCCACTAAATAACGCAAACAGCACCTGCCGGGATAAGTGGTTAGGATGCGTATAGCTTCCTATGATCTAATCAACACAGGCTGTCAGAGGTTTTAGTACTGAAGTTGTTACAAAACGCCAAATCATATGCTCGGCACGGTTTCGTCGGTATTCCTCGTGGACAATGCTACTCAGGTTACTTCACAGGTAACATCCGTTCAGTACATTATTGAACAAATATGTGAAATATCGCCGAGTCGTGTGGTTGACTATCAAGATTGTAGCGTTGTTCTCTCTGACATTCATGGTAGGCTGACTACGTATAGTCACGCGTTTTAATTTTGAAGTTGAAAAGGAGCACTCGCTTTCACGATGTCTCCAATGGCTTTTTCGGTTTATGTTTAGTCCGTGCTAACAAATCTATTCGTATCGTGAATGAACATCCCAAACTGACTAAGATAAATGGTGTAGCTCTCAGACGGGGAAGTAAGTGCATTCTATTCGCTAATCTTTCCTTTTCACATTTCAAGATTTTTAATTCGTCGTTGATGCCTGATGTATTGTTGTTTTAGAAGTATACATTTTGACATCTAAGCAGAGCTTTTGTATTTAGATACCGCACTATAATGTCGCTGTT